AATCCTTTCAAAATGCTACTCCTTCTAAAGTGGGATCTTCTAGCAAGAAATACGATTGTGAAATACGAAATCCCTAGCACCACATGTTCAAAAGTTATGGTCAAGGACAAATTTTTGAAAGGTAGGTCAAACTCCAAGGTCAAGGTAATTCTTGATATCCAATGAAAGGTCCTGTCACAAGGATTAAAAATTCAAAGAATTGTGGTCTCCCGCTTTCGGTGTCTTTGTGGGAGTGATGTGATTTTTTATGACATGTTGTCTCAAATATGAACGCCCTTTCATATGTCATTTAGAAATTATCACTGAAGTAGGGTTTTTTTTTAATAAGGTTAATCGTGAAGGTCAAGGTCATTGGGTCACAAATCATAGCATGCTTAGAAATATCTTGCCACAGGTAATACACATGTAAAAAAAAAAACATGAAAGCCATATCTCTTCTCAAGATAAGGAACAAAATGTGGCAACATACCGAAGAAGAAACTTTTCTTAAATGCAAATTAAGGAGGCTGGGGGTCAACAAATTAATCACAAATTAACCACCAGATTTAACTTATATTTTAAGATATGGTATCTTAAGCTGTCAACTATCATTTGGCAAAGAAAAAATTCATATATTTTAGCTTTAAAATTTGGTCATTTTTTATATCTTTATATGGAGCTCTTCTTTTAAAGGAGATTGAAATAGTCTGAAAATGGCTGCCACCCCCCAGCCTCGTTAAATTTGACATATTACCCAAATTTTTTTTTTCATTAAAGTGGGTCAAACTCTAAGGTCAAGGTCATTCTTGATATCCAATGAAAGGTCCTGTCACAAGGATTAAATATGTGAAACATGAAAGCCTTAGCCCAAACCCTTTTAAAGTTAAAGGTTTTTTTAAAAAGTAAGTTAAACACCTAGGTCAAGGTAAAGGGTCAAAGTTCTTCGTATCCAATGAAACGTCTTCTCACAAGGATTACAAATGTGAAGTATGAAAGCCCTATCCCTTACTGTTCAAAAGTTATGGCCAAGGTTACATTTTTTTCACAAGTACAAAAATTTCCAAGGTCAAGGTCAATAGGTCAAGTTTGTTGGTATTTAATAAAAGGCCTTGCTACAAAAAATATATATGTGAAATATGAAAGTCCTAGTATCTACCATTCAAAAGTTATGGCCAAAGTAAAAGTTCAGAATTTTTGTGTAAAAGTGGGTCAAACTCCAAGATCTAGGTCAAAAGGTCAAATTGGCCAAAGATGGGTCTTGTCACAAGGAATACACATGTGAAATATGACGGAAAAACTGACAGCTAGACAGCCTGACGGACAGACGAATGAGATTTAATGTCCCCTCGCTTTCGCGAAAGCGGGGGACAAAAATATGTGAAACATGAAAACCTTAGCTCTAACCCTTAAAAAGTTATGGTCGAGGTTTGTTTTTTAAAGTAGGTTAAACTCCAAGATCAAAGGGTCAAAGTTCTTGGTATCCAATGAAAGGTCTTTGCACAAGGATTACATATGTGAAATATGAAAGCCTTAGTCTTTACCATTCAGAAGTTATGGCCAAGGTTAAAGTTTTTTCACAAGTACGGAAATCTCCGAGGTCACTTGGTCAAAATGTCAAAGTTGTTGATATCCAATGAAAGGTCTTGCCACAAAGAATACATTTTTGAAAAATAAAAGTCTTAGTATCTATCGTTCAAAAGTTATGGCCAAGGTTTAAAGTTTTAATAAAGTAAGTCAAACTCCAAGGCGAAGGTCAAAGGGTAAAAGTTCTTGTTATCCAATGAAAGATCCTGTCACAAGAAATAAATATATGCAATATGAAAGCCCTAGCTCTAACCCTTCAAAAGTTATGGTCAAGGTTTGCATTTTTTAAAGTGGGTCAAACTCCAAGGTCAAGGTCAAAGGGTCACAGTTCTTTGTATCCAATGAAAGGTCTTCTCACAAGGATTACATATATGAAGTATGAAAGCCCTAGTCCTTACCGTTCAAAAGTTATGGCCAAGCTTACAGTTGTTTTCATAAAAAAGGGAATCTACAAGGTCAAGGTCAAAAGGTCAAGGTTTTGGGTATCCAATGAAAGGTCTTGCCACAAAAAATACATGTGTGAAATATAAAAATCCTAGTGTCTACCATTCAAAAGTTATGGCCTAAGTAAAAGTTTTGATTTTTATGCCCCCTTGAACGAAGTTTCGGGAGTATATAGTTTTTGTTGTGTCCGTCCGTCTGTCTGTCTTGCTGTCTGTCTGTCTGTCTGTTTGTCTGTCCGTCCGTCACAAAAACTTTAACCTTGCCCATAACTTTTGATTTAGTGGAGTTATGACATTCATATTTCACAAGTGTATTCCTTATGACAAGACCTTTCTTTGGGTACCACCAAATTTGACCTTTTGACCTTGACCTTGGAGTTTGACCCACTGTTACACAAAAATTTTTAATTTTTACTTTGACCATAACGTTTGAACGGTAGAAACTAGGACTTTTAAATTTCACATATATATTTTTTGTGGCAAAACCTTTCATTGGATATCAACAACTTTGACCTTTTGACCTTGGAGATTTCCGTACTTATGAAAAAACTTAAACCTTGGCCATGTCTTTTGAACGGTAGGGGCTACTTCACATATATAATCCTTGTGAAAAGTCCTTTCATTGAATAAAAAAAATGTTGACCTTCTGACCTTGACCTTGGAGTTTGGCCCACTTTTGAAAAACTTTAACCTTGGCTATACCTTTTGAAGAGTTAGGGCTAGGGCTTTCATACTTTACCTATTAAATCCTTGTGACAAAACCTTTCACTGGATATCAATCACTTAGACCCTTTGACCTTGGAGTTTGACCTACTTTTTAAAAACTTGAACCTTGGCTATAATTTTTGAATGGTAAGGGCTAGGGCTTTCATACTTTACATAAGTAATCCTTGTGAGAAGACCTTTCAGTGGATACCAAGAACTTTGACCCTTATACCTTGACCTTGGAGTTTGACGTACTTTTAAAATATGGGTACCAATATATTTAATTTGCATTTTAAAAAAGTTCAGTCTTCGCTTTGTTGCCATACGAGGTCATCAGTGTTTCATTAGCGCATCTTGTTCCTTTTTAACTTTTGATTGAGAAGAGAAAGGGCTTTCATATTTGACATGTGCATTTCCTACGACAAGATATTTCCGAGCATGCTATGATTTCTGACTCCTTGACCTTGATCTTCACGAATCACGATTGACCTTATTTTTAAAAAAATTTAACTTTGGTGATAATTTTTAAATGACATATGATAGGGCGTTCATATTTGACATCTCACCCACAAAGACACCGAAAGCGGGGGACCACAATTCTTTCTTGTTATAAGTACAAATACAAGACCTTGTTTGCAATTACAACCTACTTTCATTAATTATCGCCCCTAGCAAGAGGTTTTGGCCCTTCATTTGAACAAACTAGAAACGGGTCAAATTCAAAAGTCAATCCATATTTTTTCCTTCTTTAATATCTGATTGCTTGGGGTTTTTTTATGCCCCCGTAAAGGCCGGTATACACGATGAGATTTGTAGTATAATACAAGTATTATAATACTTTCTTGTACTCACGCTAATACATATCTTATAAGATTGTAAATAAACTACGTGTTTTCCCCGCCACAATTCTCTTTCTGTCAAGAAAATAAAAATGGAGGATGAGGCTCTGATAGCAGTGGTTATCATCGGACTATGCACTGCTTGATATTTCCACTAGTCCTCTTCCCCTTCCCATAAAACCACGAGTTTTTTAATGTCTTTACTTGTAAAGTTGGCCATTATTATTTACCATGTGCTTTTTGTAGTAATGATAAAAATAGGATGACCCCTAGTGTCATTACATTTCATTGGTTGAAAGTGATAGGTAAGTTAAGACTTGTATTAGGAAATAGAGCATTGCTCTATTCTTAATACAGTTTTATAAGATTCGAAAAATCTTATGATACACTGTATTAAGAGTGTATACACAGTAAGATTTTGTATTATAATACAAATCTTATAATACAAATCTTACCGTGTATACCGGCCTTAAACGAAGTTTCGGGGGTATATAGTTTTTGTCGTGTCCATCCGTCTGTTCGTCTTCCTGTCTGTTTGTCTGCAAAACTTTAACCTTGCTCATAACTTGATTTAGTGGAGCTATGACTTTCATATTTCACAGGTGTATACCTTGTGACAAGCCTTTCGTTGGGTACAACCAAATTTGACCCTTTGACCTTGGATTTGGACCCATTTTTATAGAAAACTTCCAAACTTTTACTTTGGCCATATCTTTTGAACAGTAGATACTTGGACTTTTGTACTTCATATATGTATTCTTTGTGAAAAGACCTTTCATTGATACCAACAAGTTTGACTTTAGAGATTTCCGTACTTTTAACCTTGGCCATAACTTTAATCGGTAAGGGCTGGTGCTCTCATACTTCACATATGTAATCCTTGTAAGATGACCTTTCATTGGATACCAAGATCTTTGACCTTGGAGTTTTACCTACTTATAAAATATAAACATTGACCATAACTTTTAAAGGGTTAGGGCTATTGTTTCATACTTTTCATATTTAATGCTTGTGGCAAGACTTTTCATATAATATCAAAATTTTTTACCCTTTGACGTTAACCTTAAACGTTTGACCTACTTTTTACAAATTTTAACCTTGGCATAACTTTTGAAGGGTTAGGGGTAGGGCTTCCATACTTCATATACGTATTCTTTATGGCAACACCTTTCATTGGATACCAATTACCTTGACCTCGGAGATTTCCATTCATATGAAAAAAACTTTAACCTTGGCTTACTTTCATATTTCACAATTTCTAGTGAGAATGCAATACTTTGGGTGCCAATATATTAAATTTGCATACAAGAAAAGTTTAATCTTCGCTATGTTGCCATACAGGAGCATCAGTGTTTCACAAACACATCTTGTTTTACATGTACCTTGTTTTTCCAGCATGTGGCAAGAAATTCCCTGAATTAGCTAGTTGGAATAAATTATATACATCTACTTGTCTATTATTCTTCTTTTATTTGATGTTTTATTTCCACTCTCAGCACATATTTTTTAAACAGAAAATCAATACAATCAAACATTAGCATTCAGCACTTTTACATGAAATATATATCACATATTAATCACAAAATATATATGAGAGTCTCTCAACCAAAAAAAAAAAATCATATACTGATTCGCATCTTAAAATTCATAATTTTTTCTCCAAAAATGTGTAAAAAAAATATTTTATTCTAAACTTAAGACATCACATGTATATGCTGTCTGTAAGTTTTCATGAGACTTTTAATCATTGTTAATATAATAGGCCCATGATCTTAGACACCTGAATTATTTACATTAAACATGTATAAACACTTTGCACTCTTTGCAATATTTCCCTACACATATAATCTTAGAACTTCTGAGGACTTGTCAATTACCGTATAATCCCTATTTACCACCCTGGGCACTTGTGAAAAGGTGGCGGTTATTTTGCTTTTTTAGTTTTAATTTTTATGTCTTATTTTACTTCAAAAAATCTTTTGAAAAAAAAGTAAATTCAGAGAACGACTAAAAGATTTCCTAACTTTCCTTTAAGCCAAGATACTGGTAATCCACCAAAATTATGCTATATCAATCATTTTCTACTGAGAAATTAGAGATTACACAAGGAGGACAAATTTTGTAGGTAACTTTCACTTTCAGAAATACATAATGATTAGGTGGTTCTAAAATCTTTCACTTTCAGGAATACTTTACATAAGAGTTACCCTATAACCAGCTTTCATTTTCACTTTCTTCAAATTATGGCACACTTTTGATGCAATTCTAGATGATTTTCATCACTGTACACAGGACTCCAACAATTGAAAAAGGCCTAGGGGCGCTTGTAGGGGTAGGGGCAGTTAGTAGGAATTATACGGTAATTTACCTGTATAAACTTTAAAAGACACAGTTTGTTCTGATTATTTTGGCATCTATATCTTGTGTTAGTTCTGACTGTAAGATTTTATTACAAATAGCTTGTATTAGGATCTGTTTCCTGCTTTTAAATTTTCTGATTGGGATGTAATTTTTGACTTTCTTACCTAAGAGGAGTCAAAAACAAACAAATATATGTAAAGTAATTAAATACTATGTGAGAATGATTTTTGTATAAATTCATATCTACAAACCTAATTAATAAATAATTAAATGTCAAAAAAGAACTCTCTAAATTCAAGCAAAATAAACAAATGACTGCTATCATAAAAAAAAATTAAATAATCTATGATTTGCACAACATCACTGTTTTAAGCAACAAATCAGTCATCAGTAGCGTCGGATCTTCTTAGAGGAATCTTCACTCTCCACTTCCATGGTCTCTTGTATAGACATAGGGGGCGCCACGTAATTAAGAAGGGAATTCTGGGACATCTGACCAAACAAGCTGGTCAGCAATGCCACGCCATAGCCTGTAGCTCTTTCTCCCTAAACAAGTAACAAAAATATTCAAAACTTTCCATACTAAAAATCACCTTTCACAATTAACAGAGTAAGTTCTTTGAAAAAGCACATATTTTTATCATCAAAGTTGTTGTAGAGTTTTGAGTAAATACATAATGTTTTTAAAGCCATATGTGCATTAAAAAAAACTAGATATTTATTAATGTATAATTATATAAAATATTTTTTTTAATTTGCAGTAACTTACATTGTGAACGGGGGCAGCCATATCAATATGGAGCCAAATTCCAGGATAGTCAAATCCGAGGTTTGATGCTATGTAGAGGCCAGCACAGGATACCTGAGCATTACTCCTGTCCTGTAAAACAAAGACACAATCATAACAGGGTGGACCTAAACACTGTAATTCTGGAGAGGCAAGCAAATCTTACTAAAAAGAATTGTCAATCTGTATAAGTCAGTGCTCAATATACAGTGTATATTTCTATATTGAGAACAGGAAAAAAACCTACTAAACCTTAGAGAATAAAGTTAAAAGAATTATATAATTGTTTTTTCTTTGAAAATAAATTCTAGTTCTGCCAAAATTTCTTCGATTCATGATTGCCATGGCAGTACTATGAAAGAGGAACAAACTAACTGTGCTTTGTTAACATTGCCGCATGTTGTATATGGTTATTATGGTAGTGATAATAATAATTCAGTCTCACTTACTGCCACAGAGTTTTTGGCATCCGCTATTGCACTATTGAATTCTGGGAAATGAAGCTCGGGGGAGTATGGCATAGCATGTACTAGGTCTGCTGAATTTTGTCCCGCCTTCACGCACCACAGCTCCATGTTTTCATCATTGGTGACAATACTGCCATGGTATTTACCTATCATCACAAACAAACCCTAATGTCAACCAAGAATTAAAGGATTGGAAAACTAGAAATCAAGGAAACAGTTCATTTTTTCCACTTACCAGTAGCAATTCCTTGGGCACCAGTTAAAGTTGCCATGTCAACAACAACATCAGCTTTCAAATCTTTCCTAGCATAAGCAACCTTTAGAAAGTAAAAAACAAAATAATTACAGGTAAAATTTCCAATGCATTGTAAAGTAAGACATGAATACATTATAGAACTCACCCCATCAGCCAGAACAAGTCTTCCTTCTGCATCTGTATTATTCACTTCCACAGTTCTGTAATAAACATAAAATGTCAATGTAATAGTTGAAGAATGGCTCAATATATACCATGTAAACACTACTTGATAAAGCCCCCTTATAAAATCTGAAGATCATTTTTACTTCCTGAGTAGTGTGTGTAGACATCATCAGTCTGTGTGCCTCACTTTATAAACACTGACCATTTACTTTGACTTGTTTTTAGATTGTCTTACCTCCCTGAGTAGTGCGTATAGACATCGTCAGTGCGTGTGGCCAGTGGTCCTACTGCATTCTCAGCCACACAGAACACAGCATGTAAATTCTCACTAAAACCCTGAAATATTAATGATTACATAAAATAATGTATCCTTATCCCTCCACTTTTTCACCACAAGTTGTACTTACATGCATTTAAACTTGAAGGCTTAATAAAAGATATGAAAAAGAAATTGTACAAGGAGAAATCATAACTACAGTATTAATTATACATGCCTGTTAATATATGTAGTAACTATTTAAGCTCATTTTGACAAGAATTCAACAAGACTGAATTTTACTTCTTTTAGTTACATGTAAAGAAAATGGTGAGAATGTGATGGGAAGGCCTATCAATGTGATAAAAGAAGTAAATAATCTTTTTGTTGGTAAATTGTTTGCAGGAAGAAATGCCTAAAACTATAGATATTTATACATTACACTTTACCAGTTTGACAGCCCCATAGAAAGCTCCAAGGATACCTGCAGCTCCTCCACAGTCCCTCTTCATCCCACACATACCAGTCTGTAACAAAAACAAGATTAACCTCTGTCAGAAATCTCAGGAAAAACATATATATAAACAGTACCTTCATATAGCATGTGGTCCCATTGTACACTTTTTATTATTTCCAAACTTTTATTAGGAATGATTCAAGCAAACAGGAATTGATCTAGTGTCTAAGTCTGGTCCATAAATGAATACCAAGATTTTTGCCCAAATTGCTCAATGGTTATTGCACTGTATAGGCACCATTCTAGCTATGAGATTTTTCTCTCTTATGTAAAAACAACCATAACAAACCACAAACATAGGTAATCAGAGATTACAGAGCTCACCTCAAAGAATGTTGTCTTTAAGTAAGGCAAATTAAGTCACACAATTAACCAACAAAAAGTGTATATCCAAAAATGCAAAATTTATGCAATTTTGATACTTTGGAATAGACCTATATAAAAACTTAAAACTAGTTCTTCATCATGAAAATGTAATTAAAATCCAGCATCTGAAGCAAGATTGAGTGTTTTCATCCCTTGATGCATCATTTGTGCAACTTTGGTTTATATAAGCCTTATAGTTTCTTGGTGATAACCTGCACCCATAACTTTAAACGAGGTCTAATCTGGAAAATGTATGTCGAATTCAGCATCTGAAGCAAGTCCATTAGTGTGCATCCTAAGATGTATCATCCATGCAAGTTTGTTCAACATAACTCAAAGTTACTTGGAAATGCAAGTTTGGTCATTATAGGGCTCAAAGTTACTTGGAAATGAATCCTGCACCATAAACTTTAACCTGTTTACTCAACCGGAAAATGTAGGTCAGATTCAGCATCCGAAGCAAGTCTGGTAGTATGCATCCTAAGATGTATTCCAGGCAAGTTTAGTCATTATAGGGTTCATAGTACCTTGGAAATGAAACCTGCACCAAAAATTTTAACCTGTTCACTCAACCGGAAAATGTAGGTCAGATTCAGCATCCGAAGCAAGTCTTGTAATATGCATCCTAAGATGTACCATCCATGCAAGTTTGGTCATTATATGTCTCATAGTAACTTGGAAATGAAACCTGCACCAAAAACTTTAACCTGTTCACTCAACCGGAAAATGTAGGTCAGATTCAGCATCCGAAGCAAGACTGGTAGTATGCATCCTAAGATGTACCATCCAGGCAAGTTTAGTCATTATAGGGTTCATAGTACCTTGGAAATGAAACCTGCACCAAAAATTTTAACCTGTTCACTCAACCGGAAAATGTAGGTCAGATTCAGCATCCGAAGCAAGTCTTGTAATATGCATCCTAAGATGTACCATCCATGCAAGTTTGGTCATTATATGTCTCATAGAAACTTGGAAATGAAACCTGCACCAAAAACTTTAACCTGTTCACTCAACCGGAAAATGTAGGTCAGATTCAGCATCCGAAGCAAGTCTAGTAGAATGCATCCTAAGATGTACCATCCATGCAAGTTTGGTCATTATAGGGCTCATAGTATCTTCGAAATGAAACCTGCACCAAAAACTTTAACCTGTTCACTCAACCGGAAAATATAGGTCAGATTCAGCATCCGAAGCAAGTCTTGTAGTATGCATCCTAAGATGTACCATCCATGTAAGTTTGGTCAACATAGGGCTTATAGTTACTCGGAAATGAGACCTACACCAAAAACTGCACCAAAAATGTTAACCTGCACCAAATACATTAACCTGGTCATTCCTTTGCTGAAATTGCAGCATCTGAAACTTTGACTGGTACAATGAAACACATTAGAAACATCTTCCATGCATGTCTAATCAATATAGGACATAGAAGTACTTAAAAAGAAAACTGCTCCAAAAAACTTAACCTTAACCCGGGACGCCGACGCCGACACTTCGTTGAGGTGAGCTAAAAAGTGAAATTTTTTTAGCAGCAGAAGCCATGCCCACTGACCTACTGAATCCAAAATAAATTCTATATGAGCTCTTCATCAGACCATACTATGATCAAAACATGTCATGTTATAATGAACATAATAGTTTGTGAAATTGTCAAGTTTCTCTATGGAAACCAAAACATTATTTTCAATCTACTTAGGCCAAGAAACTTGTACACTTTTAAGATACACTTTTTTTACAAGTATATTTGAATTTTTCTCTTGAGAAGCGAGCTTACCCTAGCTTTAATGCAGAGTCCACCAGTATCAAACACAATCCCCTTGCCGACCCAGGCAATATTTTTGGTGGCTCCCTCTGGTTTGTGGCTCAGCACCACTAAAGCCGGTGGGTGTTCTGCGGCCCTTCCAACATTATAAATGCCTGGTCAAAGAAAATGTACAGTGTATGTAGCTCTGACATTATAAATGCCTGGAATAAGGAAATCTACATTAAAACAGGTTCAGATGCACGTATTAAAACCATGATCAATAACTATGTAATCTACATACCCCCAAATCCTTTTTCCTTTAGATCCTCTCCCCGTACAATATACGGAGTGATCTGAAGCTCCCTAGCAACAGTCTCTGCCTCCTGTAAATAAGAGATCAAACAAACATTAATAGTCCTTGGTAAACTTAATACAACTAAAAAATGGAGCATTAAGTATGATAAAAGATCTATCAAAATATTTGTAAACTTAACATGCATAGCAAAAAGAATAAGTAATAAAATGAAAAAATTCTAAAATGCTACTTTTAACTGCAATTTTGTAAATATTATTTGCAATTTTAGTGATAATAAAGTGTATATAAAATGTGCTTAGCAACTTCAATTGTAAATATCTTACAAATTAAATTTCCTCTATTCACTTATTTTAAGACTTATTTTTACCTTTACAAAGTCATCTGTGTTCATATGAGAACATGGCTTATCCACAATTTCTGCAGCGAGTCTGATGCCATGAGCTGAGGCCGACAAACAGTGAAGATCGTCCTTAGTAAGCGGCTTATCCTTGTCTGGCCCAACCAACAGGAAGTCCACGGTCAGCGTGTAATCTACGGAGCTCTGTCCAGACTTCCCCGAGTACAACGGCAAAATTCTGGCTACAGCACAGCCCAGGGCGAACACATCCTTTCTCTCACACACAATCTACAAAAGGATAATGTGATAAAATATAACTTGTAATCAATGCTGAATTCACTGAATTTTTTAACATCTAAAATATATTTCACTGTAAGAATTTATCATATAAAATACTTAGTGTGCTAAATGATCTATACATAGTCATTCAAAGGAATCCCCGAAAACTACTAAAACTTAAAAATATTAACTTTTTCTGAAGAACTGCATAAGCTTCATAATTTCATTACCACAACGAATTCATCCTGGCCAGACAGACAGCCTTTCACGAGTTTGGACAAAGAATGAGCACGAGATGGGGTGTTGTGTCGGCTACTCTTCAGGGGCAGGGCAGCTAGGGTGGCATTCCTTAACCAGAGGGGACAAGTATCAGTAGGGGAGGGTCGCAGGCTACTCACAGCTAGACTAAACGTCTGAAATGTAAAGTCAATATCTAGACTATTAATTGTCTGAAATATACATAGTCAACAGCAAGGCAAAATGTCTGAAAAATACACAGTTATGGTCATCAGCAAAATGTCTGATTCAGAAATATACAAAGTCATGGTCAACAAGTAGACAATATTGTCTGGAATAAACAAAATCATAGCATATATTCTTATTTATGCCAGTGACTCTTCAAACAAAATAATAAAAAACAACATTGTTGTACTTACTTCTTTGTTGACTCTAGGTTCCAGCTTAACTTTGACATCATCGAATGTGATACTTGTGAGGTGAGGCAGCTGTCCTACAATGACCACCGGGAAATCTTTGGGATCTGACTCCGTCAGTTTCCCCCCATACACCAGCTTAACAGGCATCTTCTCTCACTGTGGCAGTTACAGTTCTGCCACAAATACTGCCTAAAGAAAGAATAGACCTCTACTTTAAAACAAGATACTAAACAGTAAGACTTTAAAATACTCCTTTGTGATTCAATTTCATTTTTTTGTACTTTTGGGAGGTATCTTGATGGGTATTCTATTGTGCGATTCAGATGTTTTTAATGTTTTAAAACAATTAGTAGTGGGCTCATGGAGGTGGAATTCCATTGATAAATTAATGATAACCTTTTTCAGTATGGTAGCTGCATCAGTTCTTGTGAAAAAGGGAAAATTACCTAATGCAAAAGCAAGTAAGATAATTTTTAAAAATGAAGAGGCCATGGGCCACAATGCTTACTAGAGCGAAAATGAAATGATTTTCGCAATAAAATTTTAGTAGAAAAGTTTGTCTTGAACATCACAGCATCCATTATAACTTAATGTCCTGAAAGTAATAGATAATATACATTAAACCCTTTCAATTTTTCCCTATGGATTATGGAATAGGTTGATGCACAAAATCCTATCAATGTCTTACTAAGGAGTACTCCTACAAATAAAGAGCCTCAGTGAACATCCCTACGCTCCTTATAGACCTTGGACTCTTACATCCAAAGGCCATTTTCTAACAAGCTCATTCCGCCTGAGATTTTGGGCAGAACACATAATGTGTGAAATAAAGTGAAAACAAGTAATTTTCAGTAATTACGTGTTTGCATAGGGTATAAAATTCAAAAGAAATCATAAAATCTTTTTTATTCAGTATGCATCATTGTTCTTTAATCAAAATTGTAATTAGTTCAATTTGTCACCAGAAGTACTTCTGGTTTGACTTTATGTTATTTTGTGGATTTGCTAGTCAGAAAACAAAGTTTTTGTTGCAGTAAACAAATTCTAAATAGATCACTGGTTTCAATTTCTGCTTCGATTTAAAAAAAAATGGATTTATCGCTAATACAAAAGATTTAGAGTGTTTTATGTGCAACAGAGCTGTGGAAAACTTTTTCAGGCAGCCAGTCATTCGGACCGTCAAGAAGACAAAATAGTTCGCTCCGAAGTAATTTTTGCCGGTCCAAAATATTAAGTTGCAAAATTGAAAGGAAAAGCATAACATTTATTTTTTTGATTACACTTTACTTAATAATAACATTCAATCTTCATTTCCAAGTCCACCTCCGTTTTCGTTTTTTGCTTTTATAACAATACTAAGCCCCTATAGATTTCATCACTTTTGCTGTTTCAGGCAGATGACAATGATAATTCGATCTGCATAGTAAACATATTTTTTTAAAACATTATGCATTTGGGAATTATATTTTACCCTGAAAATGAGTCTAAGAAATTTTGTGCATCAATAATAAAGATACCAACATCATAAACATGATTGATGAAAAAAAAAACCGAAATCTAGGACCGTCGAAACAGTGGAAGTACTAGATTTACCGCTTTACTCAACTGTGTTTGAATTTTTTTTTTTCGATATATTTTACATACCCAGATATTTAGCCTGTCTTTATCTTTTTTTATGTTTCTACCTAATTCTGTCCCATTTGTAAATTTAAAAGGTCACGCGAGACAATGCTGGTTTCGCTTTCATTTATAGCCTCGATCTCGTGCAAAGAAAAAGTATTGCGCAATCGTATGTAATGTACGATAATTAAGCTGGAAAGTGCGTCGATGATAGGCCCTAAATCAAAATGGAAAAACAAAAACCTTTAACAAAAAAAGAGGTCTGTCATTTGGACCGACATCGATATGTTTTTTATCACAGGCATTGTTTGCCGGTCGTGCCGGCATGACCGGCAGTTTTCCACAGCTCTGGTGCAAGTTTTACCGTAAATAGTGAATATTTTATAGTTTCAAGTCATTCATTAATATTAAAAGCCTGAATTTTTAATTAAATAATTTATTTCCACTTGAGGTTTTAGCGGCAAGAATTTTTACAATGGACGCTAGAGGTTACATATCACCAAGTCAAAAGTATCTCACCATGAACCATGCATGAGTAATTAAGGAGATAATGAAAAGTAACATGAAAGGAGAAAATGCATGGCTGGACTTGGAATCAAGGTTGGGACCTCTGTATCACTAGTCAGGTGCTCTACTGGTTAATTATTAAGAATAATATTCACGCCCAAACCAATACAAGCAGAAAAGAGGGGATGCACTGTAAAATATGAAGTTCACAGGTTTCTCACAGTACTGACAGTAGTGATCCTTATGGAAGCAACTCAAGTGACCCTGCATACAGTTACACTGTGTTTATAAAGTGAAGGGGGTGTCATATGAAAATTTAAAACAATTTTTATAAAAAATGAAATTAAAATACATTAAAAATATTGATTTTTACCATTCAATTAGCTGATTAAAGCAGCATTCAGTTTAGGAAATTCTGGAATGATATTTCATTAGTAGAATGACTTTTATTTATCTATAGTAATTAAAATTACTTGACAGTTTGCTTGAAACTTAGTCTGGAACACTCTTATTCTTCTCTTACCTGGATACCTGCTGAGTTATTAGGGAAAAACAGCGGCGGGTGGGTTGCTATTTGCAATGGCGTGAAGTCACCTTTTGATGAGTTAAATTTATCGGTTATTTCATATCGGGCTCGATGTACAATATTTACCAAAAGCAGAAGGCGTGCTCATATATATTTAGATTGTTTAGTTAAGTTGTCACCATGAGAAGTTTAATTGAATAGAAAAATAATGGATTTAGAATTTTCAGATTTTGAAGAGGCGTTGGAAGCTTTGAGGGATTTCGAAATTGAGTCTCACTCACAGTTTGTGACCTACCGCAAAACAAAACATTTCAACACTTCACGTGAGTAATTTGTTTATTATCGGAGGTACTACCTGTACAACTGTTGTCCTTTAATTCGCTCCAATAATAATAATTATAGTTTAGGCTTCATGTCAGTCAAAATTTGAATTAAGTGTTAAATTGTTTTATTTGTGCACATTTTTAATTATTCATATAGTTTTTTTTGTACTTAAAATAGAAGACTTTATTTAATCTTAATTTGACTTATTTTATTGTCTTAGATTATATTTTGTTGTGTAATAATTTGCACATGAACTGAAGCATTTTGTTTTTATTATGTACACTCATTTTGCATTGTATCAGGAAGTAAATACATATTATTGAGCAATTTATTGATTTGATTGATTTAATTTCTATTAATTATTTCTTGTCGTGTTATTAATTTCCTCCGTTATATTTTTAGGCGTCCTTTTTTACATGTAAAATAAGTTTTATAACTTTTGATTTGTATTCTTCTTTTTCATTATAAAAAGTTTTTTTTCTTGATTTAGAGGAATTTCTGTATGTGGATGATTTAATTGCTATAAATTATACGTTGTTGTATTATTATAATAATCTCATGAAGAACCCTCTATACACTAGAGAGTTCTGATTCTATGGTATTTGTCTGCAATTAGAGTGATCTTACCTTGGATCTAATTCTAAATAAAAAATAGAAATTTACAGTATATTACTAAATTTTAATAATTTCAATTATTTTTTAACATTTCAAAAGGTCAGGATAAATTAGTTGATAATGTTATTTACATTATTTTCCCTATAGAAATAAACAACAGTTATTTCTATTCACTGATATTAATGGTCTTTGGACATTTTTCCTGGGAGTTAATGTCATGCACCATACAGTGAAAATTAAATAGATAAGCTCAATATTGACTCCTTTGTGCAATATATTTTTCTCAATGTCCAAAAACATTTTGAACTGGTATATATAGGATCCGTAATCTTGATTTTTTTGCATCTTTTCAAAATGAAAATGAATCGTTTTTAATATTTATCGGTACACTTATCATACATTGTATATTGATATTTATACATGTTTAAAAGTAATTTCTTTTTTTTTTCATTGCCATGAATTGTATTTTGTCTAGTTACAATTGGTAAGTGATCAAGTTTTCAGATGTCTTGTCAACATTTAAATTGTGTTTCAGGATTTATGTGCCCGAATAGATAGGACCTGTAACATAAAGACATTTTATTTATTATGATTTAAAATATTTTGTTGTGAACATATACTTTTGTATACTTTTGTTTTGTTGATTAAATTTAGTTGGAATTTAGTTATCTTTTTTTCCTTTATTCATTAAGGTTCTAAAAAGGTGTTTTACGCTCATATCGGTAAACCCTATATCATGGCAAACTGTTTATTACTGGTGTTTTCTTCCCAGCCATTTTACGACATGCTTGTATTTCTTTCTGGAAACTGGAAACAGCATAAAGAAAACTCTTTTTTCCCAAAATTCATATCACATAACTACGGAAGCGTATTAGGACCGCAGCAGTATTTTTTTTAATTTGTTATAACAAATTATTTATTTGTTTAAACAAATTATTAATTTGTTAATAATTTAACAAATTATCAATTTGTTTAAACAAATTAATAATTTGTTATAACAAATTTTTAAAAAAATACTGCTTCGGCCCTAATACGCTTCCGTACATCACAGAATCATACAGAGCTGCCAACTCTTACGATTTTGGCGTAAGGCGTACAAAATCAGTGTCTAAAATACGCCTTACGATTTCTCTCCATATTCTGATGATTTCAGTTTTTCTCGTTCAGAGTTAATAATACCGGTATTTGCATAGCTGGCAGTCCATAGTTTCTACATTATAATATGTTCATATTTCTTACAATGTTTGCTTGTATCATCGTTTCTGTTTAAGAAGGTCGATCACATTCATGTCAGTGTTTCAAAGTAAACAAAATGGAAACAATCATGCCTCAGACTGCCTGTTCATTTACAAAACATCTTCAGCGCATAGGCGTCGGAACCGGGGGGGCTTAGCCCCCCCACTTTCTTTCCAAATGTATACTTAGTATAGACTTAGCCCCCCCCCCCCCACTTTTTTTCCAAACATATACTTAGTATAAATATCGTAGGTTTAGCCCCCCCCCCCACTTTCAGCAGATACATGGCAGTATAGGTAAATAATGGGGAAAAGTTGGTGTATAGAAAAATAATTTTGGTACTGAAATTCGAATCTAACCCCCCCCCCCCCCTACACCTAGCTCCCCCACTTTGAATTTGCTTCCGACGCCATTGCAGCGTCAGGGGGCTTATGTGGTCCTTAGATCCCACCTTACTATTTGTCATTTCAGAATGTTGGCAGCTCTGATCATATACTAGTATCATATACCATAATCTGGCGGAATATGCTCATGTCTTATCAGTGTGAGGTATGAAAACCTCAGCACCAACCGTTCAGAAGTCATGATCAAGCTTAAATTTTCATAATTTTTGCAAAAGATGATTGAATTCAAAGGCAAAATAAGCCTATACCAAAGGAAAGGCCTATTCACAATGAGCAGACAATTCAAACATAAATGCAATATAAATGTACATTCAATGAAATGTTTCGGTCATGATTCAATGTTTTTTACGAAGAGACACACACGATAAAAGCAATATAATCCATATCAATCGATCATCGGGGCATAAATATTACTATATTCACACAAATCTATTTATTCAGTAATCTATTTAATATCTAATATTATCCCATTTATAAGGCTTTTACTAATATATTTTGCAAACTTTTAGTCAAGAAATCGTACAATGAAGCGCATTGAAGTTTTAAAATTCTCCATTGCAATGGAAAGTTTTGAACATTCATTAGAACATTGATAGTCATAAATATAATGACACGCATATTTCTTTTGAAAAGAAAAGCAATGTTCAAATGGTTTATTTAAATACCTGTAGGCATTGCATAAATACCATAGGAATAATTTGAAATGTAAAAGAAAAATACAAAACAATACGCTTTATACAAACAGGAAATCCACATTAAACAATATTATTATATAGTCTATTTATAGTCCCTATATAATCTATACAAACGCAAACAGTTCATAACACTACATATTCACCGGATTTTAGGCCGTATTCACCGGAGGGTCAATGCGCGTGCAACGGCATTGTGACGTCACAATCAGAACATCGAACAACGTTGTAAACAATTGTGGCCATATTCACCGGAGGGTCACTGCGCGTGCAACGGCATTGTGACATCACAATCATAACGTCAAACAACGTTGTAAACAATGGTTGCACCGGCCGCAGCGAGCTACGTATCTGAGCAGAAAAACAATTATTCAAACCTATTTCAGGATTATTTTTTAACATTTGGACGTCTTACATATAGCAAAATTCGGAAAGGAAAACAAGGAAGTTACAAAGAGTAATCTGGAGAATTTTTTCTATTTTCAACAATGGAAGATCGCAAATGAAAATGGTGTCGTCATACAGCCTTCACTCTCTTTTTTATTCGAATCCCGACTATATAATAAAACAATTATGGACTCTTATGGTGTTGAATATGGTTTGTTATTCACCAGAAAAATATCCATATTAACCTCGGCTTCGCCTCGGTCAATATGAATATTTTTCTGGTGAATAACAAACCATATTCAACACCATAAGAGTCCATAATTGTATAATATTCAATTGAAATATGAATATATGACTGAAGTTAACTTCACGCCATTGCCCGTGTATATAGATATCTAGCAAGAATACTTATCGCCATTGTACGTTTTCATGAATTTAAGCAAGGGGAATTTACACCATTGCACGTGGAAATGCAGATTTAGAAAGGTTACTTCATGCTATTGCAAAAAACTGCAAATCTGACAAGGAGACTTAACGACATTACACGTTTATATTATCAAAATATAGGAAGGGAACTTCACAACATTGCACGTTTATATGAATATATTAGTAGATGTCACGCAATTTCACGTTTATAAGAATATATAAATAAGTTAGTGACTTGACTACATTGCACCTTTATATGAATATGTAGCAAGGGGACTTCACTCCATTGCAAATATATATTATGAATATGTAAGATCGTGACTTGACTCCATTGCACATATGATTATCTACCAAGGGTACATCACGCCATTTCGCGTTTTTTTTTATGATTATCTAGGAAGGTGACCTCACGTAATTACAATTTTATATGATGATCTAGCAAGGCGACTTCACGCCATGGCACGTTCATTTGATTATCTAGAAAAGGGACTTCACGCCATAACTTTAAAATGATTATTTAGCAAGGGGACTTCACGAAATTGCACGCTTATATAAATACCTAGCAAGGGGACTTCACACCAGTGCACGTTTAAATGGTTATATAGGTGGATGACTTAACGCCATTGCAGTTTTATATGATTATATACCAAGGGTACTTCACGCCATATCCTCTTAAAATTCTTATAAAATATAGGTACAGAATGTCAATTGCACCTTTATATGAATATATATATTCGTAACTCGACCCCATTGCACCTTTATATGAATATCTAGGAAGAGGACCTCTTGCCATTGCGCGTAAAAATGATTATCTGGCAAAGTGACTTCACACCATTGCACTTTAATATGATAATCTAGTAAGGCTACCTCACTCCATTTCACCTTTATATGCACATTTATCGAGGTCACTTCACGCCATTGCATGTTTATATGATTATCTAGGAGGGTGACTTCAAGATATTGCACGTTTATATGATAATCTAGGAAGGTGACTTCACGCCATTGCACGTTTCTATGATTATCTAGGAGGGTGACTTCACGACATTGCATGTTTATATGATTATCTAGGAGGGTGACATCACATCATTGCACGTTTCTATGATTATCTAAGAGGGTGACTTCAAGATATTGTACGTTTCTATCATAATATAGGTAGGTGACTTCTCGCCATTGCACGTTTCTATGATTATCTAGGAGGGTGACTTCACGCCATTGCACGCTTATATGATTATCTAGGAG